TTCAGGGAGGGCCTCCCAAATGAGCAGAATCCATCTATGCGCTATGCTCTTGTGGTATCTTGTAATCTCTTTCTCATGGCCCCTATCATAGTATGATTTCTATATTTGCTTGTATTCCCTTTAGACCATAAGCGCCATGGGGGCCAGGGCCATGTCCACTTTGGATGCCATCACGCCTTGTATATGGTACGCATTAAACATTTGCTGAATAAAAGAACAAATAAATTTATGCAAGACAAAGCTAAACTGCTTGGAACAAATTTTAAGTGCTCTAAAAGTACAGAGAATAAATGGTTAAAGTTAACCATTTGTAGTATGGCCAGACAAAAAAACAGGAAGAAGGGTGAATGTCAGGAGGAGAGGGGGTACAGGATGCATGCCCATATCAGTGAGGACAAGGCTGTCCAAGTTAGCAAGGCCAGAAAGGGTGAGCCTTGAATTTCAAACAAAGAGCTTTAACTCACTCTTATAAACTATGGGGATCTCTTGGAGGTTCTTGGATGGAGGATTAAAGTGAAGGTGGAAAAGATTAACCCAGGTACGTTAACCCATCATTTGGGTAGAGGATGGTTATAACTAGACAGAGAGGTAGCAGGCCTAGAGGGAAGGAGATGGTTAAGATGATAAGGTACGCTAGGGTGAGGTTTGTCACTTGGAATAGAAAAGAAGGGGCAGATTCTGGGAGTAAGCAACAGAACTTGGTGATTAACTGGGTTTAAGAAAAGAAGAAAGTGTCAAAACTGCTTTCCTCTGACCCCATCTTATCCTAAGATTTGCAGATTAGAAGATCCAGAAATAAGGACTAGAAGAGACAAGACATGATCAGAGTCTTCCCAATTCTTAAAATACACAATTTTACTTCTCTCCCAAGGACTTTGAATAATGAAATAAAGTTATTAGGCTGAAAGAAACCCAGGCAGAGGGTACATTAATTATCCAGTATCTCATCCACTGCATTGTTTTGGGGCAAGATGTTCAACAATTCGCATTTAGACATCCAGGAGGCAGTCTGTTTCTCTTTCTGCATAGCAGGATTCCATTAGACAAAACAAACCCGCTCCAAGGCATGAAACAGGTGAAAGAGCAATGGACTAAGAGTGAGGATGCCAGTGATGTGGTCCCCGCTCTCAAACCAACTCCATTGTATCAACCTGAGATGTGTGACTTCCCTGGACACAGATTTCCTAATCTGTAAAACTGGCTGAGAGGGGAAGACAGGGACTGGTAGTGATTCTACTTGTGTTCGGCAGAGCACTGGGATTCTGGGGAGGTACTTCAGGGGCCCAAGGGGGCAAGGGAGGAGCCAAGTGGGCAGTCTCCCATCCACCACCCTCACCACCCTCACTCGGAGAAGTCTCACTTTACTATCTACTATCTCAGGGATCAAGATGTCATTAAGTCTTCAGTATGATCCCAACCTTCAACCTCACCACTGAGGGAAAGTTACTGGTCTACATGCTAAGAATCTTGTCCCTGCGGAGTCAGCTGTCTGATTTCCCAAAGAATAATAACACAAGTTGAGAGCTGTGTGGGTCTGTAAGTTAACTACAATCTTAAAAACTTTCCACAAAAGCACAGATGACACACAACACTCTTTTAGAATTTGAGGGGGAAACTAACCTTTCATTCCAGGAATCAACTTTGAGGTTGGATGAAGGTAACTAGAGCTCTTAGCCAGTAATACTAACGGCTGAAGGTACTTCAGCTTTATCTCAATCTTTTAAGGAGCAAGTATGAGTTGTGTGATAACAATTTATTTCTTTTTAAAGGAAAAAACTTTGGAGAATGGCCAAAAAAAAAAAAAAAAAAATCTGACAACTGATGTCTCCAAAGCTCAAAGCATAGGGACTGTAGTAACTTCCCAGGACTCCTTGACCTCAAAGGCTCCCTCAGGGGCCCCAAGCTATGCTGAGGAAGTGAGTACCCGAACCTGACTTAATTTCACTCCCAGCCCACGCTTTGCAATTGCAGAAACGTGCATGCTAATCAGAGGACTGGATTGCTTCTTCTTGAGAAACAGAAGAGAACAAGGTGGTGGACCAAAATGAACGCACTCTAGCAGAGGGTTTTCCAAAGTTCTTATCACACTTTGCAGCGGATCTTGAGAAAAATCAACTTACTGGATTTTTCTATTTACTACTGTTAATTTGAGGACTATTGTCTATGAATTTAAATGTTATTAAAATAATATTTGATGTCAATTTATTTTTTTTACCCAACACAGTAATTTTTTCTGTGTGTACACCTTTTCTTTCTATTTTATAAATCTTATATATGTGTGTACATGTCACAATGTAAACTGTTTTTCTTACTGGGAGCTGTGAAAAAAAGTTTGAAAACCGTTTTGGTGGATACTGGGAGTGAGAGAGGAAGCTTGATTTTCAGTTTGATCTTAGAGACATTTTAGGAAGTTTGGCTTAAAAAATAAATAAAGAGGTGGGGAAGTGGGGAGGGACCCAGTATTTCCTGAGTGGTGACCATGCTGTACACTCTGTGCTTGAAGTGAACCCACCCAGCGAGGGTTGGCCTTGTGAGGTGTGGCAGGGAGGGGCTTGTCAGGAATTTCACCTGTTTTCTAGATGAGGGGAGATGAATTCCTCCAAAATCACAGCTAATAAGAGGCAGGTTCTGAATTACAACCTGCATGTCATCGGACTAGTCAGCGCAGTTTCTTAGCTGTGGGGGAAGGAGTAGGGGGAAGTTTAAACTGTTTCTTTAAAGTTAGCTTTAAAAAAATCCTACTTGGGTCTAGATCATGACTACATTATCACCACAGCTAACATTTGTTAAGCCCTCACTTCGTTCCAGGCTCTGTATTAAGTGCTTGAAAGCCTTCATTTCATTCAATCCTCACAGAAACCTTACAAGACATGCACTAGAATCATCTCCATTTACTGGGGGCTTTCAGCAGTTCAGGAACTTGACCAGAGCCACACAAACATCGTGGATGCAAAATCCAAATGCACATTACATAGCTGAATGCAGTTTTGTTTACACTTCCTACACATATTCAGCGAAAATATCTGCTAAAATAGATATTTGCTAAAATAGCTACTTCCCCTTGAAGTGTTGGAGTCAAAACGATTGAAATCGCAATTTCTCACCTATGAAATAAAAGTGAGTTTAGAAGTTCACTTAGGACTTCTTCGCGTTCGGCGTTCTCTGGTTCTAAAAACGTGTCATGCAGGTGGGCTTCCATGTAAAGAATGCCAGGCGAGCGTGGCCGTCGGTATTATTACCATTCAGCATCCCGGCTACTAAGCCTGCATGGCTGGTTCAAGAACACCTGGAGCTCCGCTTTCTGAGGCCCCTGTCCATTTAGCAACTTGCTTACCGTAAGAAGATACCCTTTGGTTATAATCACTGTATTTGAGAAGTGTTCAGTGTTCACCACTCTTCATAAAAATCGAATAGCTTTTAAAACATTATGTTGGTGATTTAAGGATTAGGGGTTATACTGTAACGGGATTTTTATCTATAAGGCTTCTTTTCTTATTCTGTAGGCTCTGGATGACTGCTGGCTACAAAGTCCTAATTCCGGGGATGGGATGCCCAGGGGCAGAGGTGGGAGTCAACTTCTATTTTCCAGAAAAGGCAGCTTATGCAGCTTCGGAAATCTCTAGGGGCTGAGGAGTCTGAGCTGAACACAGGAGGCCCAGGAGAGAAGTCTGTGCAAAACTGTGGGATTTTCATGAATTTGCTTGCAGTCTAAACTGGTGACTGCTCTGGTGGAATCTCGGCACTTCAATTTAGGTGAGGTTTAGTCCATTTCCTTGTGTATCATAGGCGTCCAACATCTAGTCTTGTCAGCTTCACAATTTATAAGAAACGCTGTAAGCCAGAGAACCTTAGGAATACCAATTTTGCAGTTTTCCTACCCTTTTGCAATTCTCTTTCCTTTTTATTCCCAGCATTAAGCTTTATTGTCAAATCTTGTCTGATTTGGTTGCATCTGAATGATTTTCGTGTCCTATCAAGCTTGTAAAAATGAAATTCTGCCTCTACCTTCATATTACATCTTTTCCCTCAGAAAAATACAAGACTCAAATTGGTCTGTGAGCCAACTGAGCTGACCTCCACTGACAGCTTAGAGGTAAGAGGGCAGCTATTCCTAAAAGGGGGAGGGGGGGGAGGTAAAATGAAGTAAAACAGGGCAGAGCTTCCAAGGGAACTCACACATGCTTGTTTGCTAGGTCCCGCCTACATCCTAATTGACAAGGGCCGAAAGAGCCTGCACCTTCCTCACTCAGCTATCCTTCGCTACCTTGTGTCACTCATGCAGATACACGCTCCTGTCGTATTTCCAAGAAAAACACGGAGACACCCAAAACCATGCTTCCAAAGTAGATAGGGGATCGGCAGGTTAAGAGAATGAAGGAGAGGGGGGGTGGTTGAGCACCTAATGGGGAGATACTGAACAAGGGTGAAAGTCAGGGAAGTTCGTGGACACAGAGAAAGTAAAAAAAAAAAGTGACTGAACATGGTTAGCAAAGAACCACATGTTTTGGTCCCATAAAATAGATTCTGAATCATACTCAACATTCCATTGCATACTGAGGATACATTATAAGCTCCCAGGAGGGAAATAAATGTATTTCTGGTCCAATATGGTTGTCACTATGTCTAAAACCTAAAAGGAGGTATCAGAGGAAAGGAAAAAATTAGGAATTTTAAGAGTGGCGTTTTCGCCTCTATCAATTCAGCTTTAGTGCCAAGAGACCAAGAGGTGCTTCACGACTGCAGGAGGGGAAGCCCAGAGGCTCCTGGTTTCTTTCTTAGTTGCACCTGTTTCGAAAGGGCGTGGGCTAATAAAAGAAGAAAACAGGTTCCCACAGGCAGAAACTCGATCCACTCCCCGCTCGTCCTGGCGCCCATGCCAAGAGCCACCGGAGCGCGGCCCAGGCCTCCGCTGCCCTGCCTGCGGCCAGCTCTGCAAGGCCAGGCAACAATGGCTTCCTGTCTCCTTGGGCCCAGGGTGGGACCCATTTTCCCACGCTCACCTGCTGGGAGCCAGGTGAAGAGCAGCAGCCAAGGTGCAGGCAGCTCAGGGCCCATGCCGGCCCCTCTCTGGCCCCTTTCAGCTCAGGGGTTCCGGGGGCACCGTGTCTTCCTTCATCAGCGGCCGCCCAGGACGCACCACTTCTGCAAGGAACCCCTCCGACGTCCCCTCGCTCGGCACAGAGCGGCGGAGGGCGGGCCGGGTCGGCGGCAGGTACGGCAGGCTCATCCCCACCTGGGCCGCGGCCCCGCCCCCCGCGCTCCCGGGCTTCCTGCCCCGCCCCCGGGCAGCCGCGCCACCTTCCTCACCTGCCACCGCCTCTGCCGGCTGCGGGTAATTCTCTTCCTCGCTCAAACGCCGTCTCCTGCCACGCACCCTCCCGCCTGCAGAGAATGTTACCGTTTTTTTCCACAAGTTCTCTGGAAATCTTACCCCTAGCAAGTTTCTCCCCCTTTTTTGGTAGAATTATGTGGCTAGAACTTTCTACGGAGTATTTCCTGCATTATATTTTCATTCACTCATACGTTCTTGGAAAACTTTTTTCCACTAAAAACACGCTTAATATGTTTACACGTAATATCTTTTCAGATTCTAGAAACTAAAGATGTAGGAAATGAACTGGAGAAATAGGTTTAATTTTCCACAATTACAAAAGCAACAGATGCTTATTATAGAAAAGTTAGAAAATATAAATTAATGGAAATAGGAAAAAAATCTGCTCCCACCACGCAGCGTTAGGCTTGTTAATGTTGGTATATTCCTTTTTATTTCCCATCCTGCATGCACTCAGCAACCCCCACAGACCTCAGCCCTCACAAGAGCAAAGATTCTAGGTGTCTTTGCACCAGGCCGCTTAGGATGTAATCCCATCTCTCCTTCCTTGGTGGGATCCCACACGGAGGAATAAAGCAAAGCAGAGGAGGAAGGCACACTCACCTTCAGGAACCAACCAACCATGTTAACTTGGAAAGTCTCCATACACTGGTCAGTTTAAGTAGACAGAGGCCATTTTATACACTTCTCCCTTATCAGGGATTTTTCATTGTGCTCCCCCTTCTGTAGCAAAAACCATCTCCTCCCTCTCAGCCGCCATCTTTTTTCTCAGGAAAAGAATTATAAAGATACATTAAACGTGGTTTCTGCCCCTCAGGAAGCTCTCGTTCTGGCCACTGACCTCGGAAGTCAACATTATTCCTCCTGAGTGAATCTCCTGCCCTGCTCTACTGTAAAGGGACCTCTTCCCTGGGGCTACTGGTGTCCATCATCTCCCCTCCACGAAGAAGAGCTTCCTTGTCCTGAATCTGATTGGAGGTCTCACCCCAGTCTCTTCTCCCCATCTCTCTTCCCCTCCTCCACTCCTGGGTCTGGCATCTGGTTCCCCAATTGGGCCTCTCCACTTTGTTTTTCTTGTAGCTTCTTCCTTTCCAGAAAGTAGAAAGTAAATTCAGGAAGTGCATGGCCAAAGGCAGATGGTACAGTGTGTTTAGGAGCCTTTAGATCTTCCACAGTGGGATCCCAGCACAGCAGCAACTGCAGGCGCAGCCACAGCAGCAGGATATAAAGTGAGTGAGGGATGGTCCTCTAACCCCCTCCAGAGACCTTGCACATGCTCCTAGGAACACTGTACATGTTTGAGTGTTTGTGACTCTGAGGGGTTTGTGTGGTTCCTAGCTTTGTGAATTGTTCTAGGCAAATTTTCACTTCCAGTCTAAAAAGATATGAGCCCTCTCCTTCCCACATCTACCTCCCATGCCCCTCGGCCCTTGCTTTGGTATAAAGGTCATTTTAATATTCATCGAAGCCAGCGTCTTTCCATGTGTATTTTGTGGAACGGTAGTTCCATGGAATGTTAATAAATAGTATATGGAAAAAAGACTGTGATAAATTCAAGAAATGCCAGACTAAACTAAATGAAGCATGTTTTCAGGACTTATCAAACCCTTAGGGTGCTACTGTACATTTAAATTTCCAAGGGAATATGTCATATAACATTTCCCAGCTTATTCAATGACAAAACCCTTTTTTTCTCACACATATCTTAGGGCAGATGTTCCATGGAACATATTTCAGGTAATCTTGGTGGTCTAACCCAACTGTAATTGGGGGGATATGTGGGAGACTTCTATAGGAACAAAAAAATATGACTTTCACAAAGGTTATCTCAAGTGCAGTAGAATTAGTGTTTCCTTATTTTCTTTGGGGAATCGTTCCTTCCGTTGAACTTCTACCTCCATTGTGCTCTGAGAGTGGACACTTAGGTTGACTTTATGTATTTGTTCCTCCACTACATGCATCTTTTGTTCTTCACCACTTATCATATTATGTACCAAGCAATGTTCTAAGTGCTTTACATGTATTATCTTATTAAATTCCCACAATAACTATATAAAATAGGGTCTTATTATCAATCCCATTTTATGGATGTGGAAGCTGAGGTACAAAGGAATAACTTGCCCAAGTTACAAAGCTCGTAAGTGGTGGAGTTATGAGTCTAAGTGAGGCCGTCTGACTCCAGACCTTGTGCTTTAGCTATTTCAACACACACTCTCACCTAGCTTTGTCTTCATCTGTATTTACAGCTAGCTGACTCTATCAGTGTGTACTAATCCAGCTTCTTTGCACATATGTCATTATCTCTAAATAAAGGAAAATTGCATTCCACTGCCATGAGCTCTCCTGGGCCAGTCATTCTGCCAATATGTGCCATTGGTTCAATAAAGATTAGATAAGAGTATACATTTGGCTCAGAACCAACAAACAGTTCTTTCATACCTAGATATAGAAGTGAAAATCACTTGACTTGCTGATAGTGACTGAAACAAAATTGTCCTCAAATACAAAGTAATAATAATAGCTACCATTTATTAAACTCTTAGAATACTGCGAGGCACTATTATAAGCACTTTTTGTATTAATTTCAGTAATTCTCTCAACAACACTATGAGGCAGGCACTATCATTGCTCCATTTTACAGCTGAGACACTTGAGGCCCAAAGGTTCAATTACTTATCTATGGTCATCCAGCTTGTAAGTAGGGGCTGAGATGCAGACTCAGGTGATCTGCCTTCAGAGCACACATCGTTAATCACTACCCTAGACATACTGTGCTTCTTTGTGTTGGCTGGTCTAGGGTCTAAGCACAAAGTACTGAGCTTATGATCTCATCATTTGTAATCACACTTTCTAGTTGAACTTGTTTCAATGAATGTTTCTAAATATTGCATCTATATATGCACGTGCATCTGTATTTAAGGGTAATGTGATACTTGTACATCTACATAAGCATTTATCAAAAATGGAGAAAAGAAATGGCAGGAAAGAAAATAAAGAAACGTGTAAGTAAAAATCATGCTCCAGGCAGTTAAAGCTAAAGGGAGGCAAGAAATGAAAGCAGCTAACTGATCCCGCAACATTTCAAGTGTATCTTATTAATCTTTGAATGCCTAGCATCTAGCACAGTACTTGGCATATAGGTAGTGCTCAGTAAATATTTGTTGAGCTCTTTATCCATAGTTCCTGGAGGAAGTGACATGTGAACTGGGTTTGAAAATGATTAAGACTTTGCCAGAGCAATCCAAGCAGAGAGACCAGCATGTGCAAAAGTTATGGCACCAGGAAATAGCATAGCTGAACTGTAAGCACGTCAGTTTTGCTAGACTCTAGAGCAAAGTGGGGAGTGTAGGAAAGTATGTTAGAGAGGTAGCCAGGTAAATAAAGGGCCTTGCATGACAAGCTGGAGACCTAAGACTTCATACAGTAGACAATGGGGAGCCAGTGAAGGGTTTTAAGCTGAGTGAGTCATGATCAGACTTGCATTTTAAAAATATAAACTTGGCAGCAGTGAGAAGAATGGTAAGTGAGAATTGAGATGAAAGGCAGGGAGACAAGTTAGGAAACACTTACTAGAGTCAAGGTGGGAGATACTGATGTCTAAAGCCAATTCTTGTGTTGAGAATGGAAAGGAGAGAATACTATGGCAGATATTTAGTATGTAGAATTGACAAGATTGATGATAAATTAGATGTGGGGATTGAGAGAAGAATATGTGTTTCTGACCAGTGAGCCTGGGTGGATGGTGATGCCTTTAAAGAGAATAAATATATAGAAAGGTTTTGAATCACTTCAGACACATTGCACCTGAGAGAACAGTGGACTATTCAAATGAAACTCCTATGGATGGTTGGACACCTGTATTAAGCGCAATTGGTTGAATGGGGTTGGTAGGAGCTGCATGCCTGTATACAGAGGTCTGAGTCAGTAGACTGGGAGACTTCCTTTTTGGTTAGTGGGCTATAACAAGACAATTCATCTCAGAGTAGGGCTAAGAGCAGGAGGTGGTGTAGTCTAGTGAAATGACTTTGGAAACAAATATATTTATTATTACCTCTCCTATTCAACTTTATACTGGATATTCTAACTAGCACAATAAGAAAATAAAAATTAAAAGGCTTGACAAGAAGAATAAAGATGTTATTCACAGTATTATGATTATCTACACAGAATATTGAAGAGAATCTGTACATTATATATAAGGATTAACAAGAGAGGTTGCTAGAAACAAGGTCAATATATTGATGTCACTGAGAAAGAGGGAGCAACATTTATCTGGAAGATGTGACTTTAAAATATACATTTGCAATAGCAATAAATCTATAAAGTAACTAGGAATAAATCTAACAATATATGTGGAACAGCTTTATGGAGAAAATTGTAAAAGATTATGGAAAACATTTTTGTAAAGACACAAATAAATGTAAAGATGTACCATATTCATGGATACAAATATTCAGTATCACTAAAGATGATAATTTTCCCCCGAATTAATCAATAAGTTTTGTATATTTCTAACAAAAAATCTGAAAAATCTCCCCAGAATTTAACAAGCCATCCTAAAATTAAATGGTGGTAAATAGCCAAGATAATTTTGAAGAAAAATAAGGAGGAAGAGGGAAATTTGCCTCTTCAAATGATAAAGCTAGAGCAGTTAAAACTATGTGGCATTGACATATGGATAAACAAATGGAGCATAAAAGAAATTCTGAAAGTAGACACTCATGTAGACGGGAATTTGATATGTAACACAGGTGGCATTATAATTCAATGAGACAACCTTAAACTATTTAATAAGTGATGCTGGGACAATTAGTTTGTTATGTTAAAAAATAAGATGTATCTTTATTTCATACCACATACACAGTTCCAAACTGATTAAAATCAAAATGTTAAAAGCAAAAATTTCAAGCTTTTAGAAGAAAATATGGTAGAA